GCCAAGTTGATGCTCTTCTCGTCGACTGACTGCGCGGCCTTCTCCAGCTGCAGTTTGTGGTGCTGGCTCAGCGCGACGGAGGCTGGTTCCTTCGACGCTCGGGGGCGCTTCGTGGGCGGCTCGTTCTCAATGTTGCCCTGCGCCCTCTCGGCCTTGACCCTGGCAGTGGGCGTCGCCTTCGGCTTTGCCTTTGCCTTGGGCCTCGCCAAGTCGCTCTCGCCCTCGAACTCGCGGCGAAGGCTGCGGGGGCTCGCGTTGGCCTTGGACATCGAGTACTGCGGCACCCATACCATCGTAGACTGGTACTCCTTGGAGCAGAACTTGTCGGAGTGCTCCAGAAGGTTGTCAGCGTCCCCTTGGGTCAGCACAATCTCCTTGCCATCAATGGTCACCTTGAGGCTTTTCACGTCTGCTTCTTTAGCGAAGCCGCCCTGCCCGACGAAGTCCCTCTTGACCGTCTCATCCTGGACCTGCGACACCTTCGATCGGATGGCCTTCTTGAGGTCCTCGCCCTGGAGGTGCGAGACGGAGTGAATGAAGTCTCCTTTCTCTTGTGGCCCCAGCGCACCGGGGCCCTCCTTCAGCTCGGGCTCCCTCGCGAAGAAGCGCGCCGTGCTCTGCCTGAACGCATTGCACGACGAGCATCGCAATTGCTCGCCTTTGCCAGTGAGCTCGTCTGCAGCCTTCACCCTCACTTTCTGGTTTTCTGGGCGCTGCCGCTTGCACGTGCCGCGCCAGAACGTCTTCGCTACCTCCTCCTTGGCCTCGACCGCCGCGGGCAGTGCAGGGGCGGCGGGGGCGGCAAGGGCGGGGGCAGCGGGGGCGCTGACGGTTGACATGACCGCCATGGCCGAGATCGCCAGAACAAGTCGGGACAAGCGCCGAATGCGTCGCGTCGCCGAAGGCCCTGCGAGCCGAAACACCGACGAGGCAACGGGGAAGGTCGGCACGGCGGCGTAGCCGTCGGTCGCTGCGCCCCCCCCCCCCCCTCCTCCTTCGCATTTTCGCAGAAAGCTCCACTCCCAGCGATGGCCCTTCAAATCCCCCTGCATGTCATTTTTTCCAGAGGAACCTCTTGTAGGGGGCTTTGGTGCGCCAGAACCAGCCAAAACCCCCCTCCTCCGATCCCCCCCCTCCTCCGCCTCCCCTTCCTCCTCCTAGAGGCCCCCAAGATCGCTCCAAGATCGCCGACAAGGCCTCCAAGATGACCTGGCCCCAAGATTGGCCCCATGATTGGCACTACCTCCGCCCAGAACCCTAAACACTTGCGGCGCCCTCTTGGGCCCCGCAAGTGTCAGGGCCCCGAGAGGGCCCCGTCACGTTTGAGCTGCGTGAGGCGTGTAAGAATATCGAGTTTGGGACCACCGATTTTGCCCAGGGCGTCTTGGGGCCCTCCTGGCCCTCTGCCCCCCCCCCCATCGGGGGCATTTTTGGGGTGGCGCAGAGGAATGGGGGGAACGGAAGAAGGACGGTGAGGATGGTGATGATGTTGGCTGGCGATGACGACGACGTTTTTTTCTCTTCGAGGCGCAGCGCCAAGATTACACACATTGCAATATGATACACTGGAGAGAAAGCCACCGCCTCGAGCGGCTCAGATGAGCTCGTTCTCCCTGTCACACTGCAGCTCGGCGAGAACACTTGATGGCGCTGTGATCTCATCGGGGCCGCTGGTCGGGATGGGGATGTACGCTGGCTCGTCAATCGAGAAGGTGCATTGGACATCTGAGCCCAGCGGATTTCCACCAGTCACTGTCAGCCAATTCGAGATGATGGGGTTGCATATTGAACTCGTCGTGCCTCCCAAGGAGGTGTCGGGCACGCCCCGCCTGTCGAACCGAGGCGTGTAGGCGTCTTTCGTCTGCCAGTAATCGAAAGCACACATGAACATACCGACCAAGTCATCGCGAAATCCAAGCGGGCGAGCAGGTGCTGCTCCGCGAAACCCGTGCTTCTCGACGAGCAGCCACGTGAACGTGAGGCCGAACTCGGGCATGCCTTCGCCGCGCGGCCCGACGATCTGGAGCATCCTCTGAGAACCTTTCTTCCTTGACAGAGCTTTCGCCGAGCACGAGGCGAGGTCGAAGGTCGCTCGCCTGTCCACGGCGTCGATGGCCCCGCTGGTTAGCGGCACCTGGAGGAAGAACTTGGACGGGTCATGGTGGTGCACGTGGACGGTCGGGCGCGGCAGCTCTACGCGTCCCGTTGTTACAACGGGCTCCACCATCACCACTTGAGAAAATGGCTACGGAAAACGCTTCGCGCACATCGGCCGAGCCGTCTGCGCGCAAAGGCGGTGGGGGGGGGGGCATGGTTGAGTCAGAGGGGATGCTCAAAAGGGTTGAGGCAGAGAGGAGGCCCAAAAAGGTGGGCGAGGCCCCCGCCGTAACAGGACGCACGTGTGATCAAATGTTGTTTTCGCCCCTGCGAGTTTTCAGCGGGCGCGCTTCCGCTGACGATCCGCACGCACACACGCGCGCCCATCGCACTCGAAGCCCAGGCAACGATGGGATAATCGGCTCCACGAGATTACCGCGCTGCAAGTATTTCATGTTCCACACGGCGGCATTCGCCGCGCACGTTCTAAACCGCCCTGAAAAAGCAAAGCGCGCGTCATCCACGCGGTCCAGGATCCTTACCGCCAAGATGCACGTCAGGATATGGGACGCTTTGCTGGCGCACTGAACGCACAAGAGGACCTGGCCCACAATGTGATCGGCGCCAGTGTGCACGACCACCAGGTCAGACTTGGATCTGATACCAATGGTGGTATGCACACGTGATGACGCCGAGAGCGTGTCTGGCACAATCTCACCCACGACGTTGAGCAACGCCTCTCGGAGCCACACGGCTGCGACGGGCTGGGGTCTGTGGAGGTACTCGGGGACGCCCTCAAACTCATCTTCGTGGAACATGTCGGCCAGGCATCGGCGCACGACCACCTCGTCCCAGTCAGATCCCCGCCCATAGTTGGCCACTGTCTTTGCTATCTGGTGTCTGCGCTCCATTGCAAAGCAACTCGGAACAGCCCCCCAACGTGCGATAGACGACGGAACGTGAACTTGATAATGACATTTTGGCTTCACCATTTCTATGTCGTATGCCATCAAAAACCATACTTGGTGAGCGTCTATATGGCGAGTCAGCTCGTTTACCATCCCGACGGTCCTGTCGCCTGACATGCAAATGTCCAGCACCGCACACAAGTGCTCGAAAGACTTGACACACTCTGGGAAGGCACCTGACGGCTTGACAACTGTCACTATGTATGCGTACAGAGCATATGTAGCAGCCAATGTTGTATTGGCGAAACCTTTGGTGTGCTTCTTGCTATCACCAACCACATGCTCTTTGAAAAAATGCCTGGGTAGCTTGCCCGATCCCCGAGGGTACTGCAACGTGCTGCAATACTCGTCGATGACGTCCCTCGTCACACCAGCGGCCTCTAACTTCAGTGTGATCAAGTTAATATCATAAGAACAAGTCCCACCATATGCGAGTAAATTCTGCATAACAAAAATGAATGCTCTACAGGCCGAATGTGGGCGCGAAGTTGCACGTCCAGAAGCAAGGACCCTGGGTCGTAAGTTATTCCGTGCGCCTTTTCCAACCTCTGGAACTCAGCATTGGTGACTACGCCGACCTTGGCGGCGAGGTCGTCTGCCATCTCCCACAACTGCTCGCTGGTCTGCGGCTGGATGTCCTTGGAACTGGCCCTCTTGAAATGCACGAAGCCATCGTCCAGATCAGGCCGATACCTGTCGGTGGCGATGACGTTGCGGCAGCAGTGGCATATCCTCATTCCCCCGCTGCCTTTGACCCCCCCCACCCCCACCCCCACCCCCACCCCACCCCCCCCCCCACACAAGGGAATGTATGAGCCCGCTCGTCCTGCACGATTGGGCCCATCTCTAGCATTGTGCCGTAGGTCCCCAGCGGGCCGTCGACGACCAAAACTGGGTTCGAGAAAAAAAAAACATTCCGAACGCAACTTTCATCAGGCCCGACAAGCCACCAACAACCTTGTCTTGATCCGCTGTCCGAAGCACCGAGAAGACCATCCAGCCATTTCGCTTAGATCTGTACCAGCTCGGGAGCTGAAGGAATGAAAATTAAACCGCTTGTATTTCTCTCGACGTGTCGGTCGCAGGTCGCAAGGCGCCCCCTGGTGTCGTCTCGTCCGTATACACGAGACGGGTCAACTTCTGGGCACCGCCGCAACAAGCATCGTGCAGAACCTGTCGAAACCTGTGAGATCGGCGACGCCGTTCGTATACCAGCGCGCGGGGGTTGATGACCAGCCATTGCATCCCGTTCGGGCTCCCTGTTTCGAGTTTGATGTATTGCAGAAGCTTACCATGGGGGGGTGTTGACATCGAGGTTCGCCCGCGCCTCTCGTTTCAGAGCAGACGCAGAAGGGCCTTTGTCGTCGTCGCCGCCATCATCGTGCAGCTCGCGGGACAACGCCAAGATCTCAGAAAGAGAAATATTCGCACGCGTGCCAACAATCTCTGCGAGTTTACGCTTGTCTGGACGCATGCGCGGTGCAAAACCCTTGAGCAGACAACGCCCCCAGCGTCGAGACGTCTGGGGCTGCGGAGGCGCGCGCGCGAAGAAAACAAAAAAAACTGAGGGGGAGGGGGGGGGGGGCGGAGGAGGAGGGGGGGGGAACTGGAGGGGGTTAAGTTAATCTAAAGTTAATATTAAGTTAATACTAAGTTAATCTTAAGTTAATATGATAACACTGCCATTGTAATTTGTTGTGCCAGCATTAAGATAATCATATTATAACGCATTGAATCCTTTACTATCCTTGTAATGCGACTAGAATCCTTCGCTCAAATGAATTCGATTAGAAAGATTGCAATCTCTATAAACAGTTATAACTTACATTGTAATGAATTTGAATCCTTTACAAACACAATTACAATCCGCCTAAACCAACGGTCCAACAAGTGGGGGCCGACGCCCGGCTGGTGCCGGCCTGTGCCGCGCTGCCCATGGGCTTCACTTGGTCGCTGTTCTTCTGCCAGGAGGTGGGGGAGTCGATGATGAGTCGCGCTCCCGAGCTCGCGGGGGTCCCCCGGATGAGCGACCGGGGCCCCGCCGCGGCGCTGCAGCCGGCCAGGCTGCTGGACCACGGCGGAGGAGCGCAGTGCACCTACGTCGACAACCTGGGCGTCATGGGTTTTGACGCCGCCGCGGTGGCGGACTGGGCGCCGCCGCGGCCCGGTTCAACCAGGCCGGGCTCGTGACCCACGAGACTGAGCTCCAGGAGGGCCGCGGGGAGACGCTGGGCTGCGTGCTGGGCGGCAAGGCGCTGAGCACTCGCCTCACGGCGAAGCGCTATTGGCGCGTGAGGCAAGGGCTCAGCTGGGCCCTCAGCTGCCGGGCTCTTCCTGGCTGGGCTTGGGAGGTGGTGATCGGGCCCTGCACGTGCTGCGCCATGAGCAACCGTGACTTGCTGCCTGCGTTCACCGCCGTCTACAAGTTCATCGCTGCGAACTACAGCCAGGGTGCCGCGCTGTGGGCTAGCGCCTGCGCGGAGCTCGTGGCCTTCCGAGGCCTGATGCCGCTGCTGCGTGGCGACTGGGCCCTCCCCTGGAGCGAGTTGGTGTGCCTGTCCGACGCTTCGGAGCACGGGTGCGCGGTGAGTGCCTCCCTCTTTGATGAAGTGGAGGTGAAGAAGATCGGGCGGGTGCAGGAGCGATCTCGTTTCCGGCGCCTGGGCGGCCACTCGGCACGTGCCCACTTCTTCGCCATGAATGGGATCGCCATGGCCCTCGGCGGGGCTCTCAAGCCGGTGTCTGAGCTGGAGGAGGGTGACGTCGTCGCGGACGGTGCCGAGTGGGGTGCGAATCCAGCTTTCGAGGAGATGCCGGCGGGGATCTTCATGGGCGCCCGCTGGGCCGAGCTAGTCGCCCGAGGGTGGCGTAATGCGACGGATGATATTTTAGTATACGGGTCTCGTGCTCTGCTTCGAGCGATTGAGATGCAGCGCAGCCTGTCGCCGAGTGTCGGCGAGCACCTTGTCGCGATGAGTGGCAACCTACCTGCAGTACTTTGCTTCGAGAGGAGGAGAGCAAACAACTTTGTCGTCCTGTCCTGCATCAGAAGGGCTGCGGCACTTTGCCTGGCCTGAACAAGTGGTTGCATGTACGGTGGGTTCCCAGCGAGCTCAACCCAAGCGATGAGGGATCCCGGCTGTTTGGCCCCAAGTACGACCCCTCGAAGACCCTAGTGAACTCCTGGGAGATGGGTGATAACGACGGCGGTAGAGCAATACATCGTAAACTTTATTCAGCATGAAGCGGAGCGCCATAGAGCACAACACCATCATAAAACACATGAGCGTCATCGTACAGCACATGAAGCAGAGCATCATATAGCATTTGGAGCAGAGCATCATAGAGCACATGAACTTCGGAGCCCACCATTGCAGGGCTCACTACATCATCACAGAGCACGTGAGCACATCATCAAGACCCAAGAGGCCTCCGCGGGCACGAACGATCAGGACGACCAGGGGGGTTTGTCTTCCAGGCCTCCTCAGGCCCATAGCTCAAGACTCCCAGCAGCTGCTACGACTAGCAGAGCACCGTGGCCGTGCTCGGCTCGAAGCACGTCTCCTGCCGCAGGGGCCGTGGCAGCTCCCGCCGCAGGCGCCCAGGGCTCGGCAGGCGCTGATGAGCCAGCGCCAGCGGCGACTGCTGCCAGACAGCGACGACGGCGCGCCCGCGCCCGAGAGGCCCGAGCGGCGTGCCAAACGCTCGCGGGCCTTGTCGCCGAGCGTGCTGCCCCCGCCGCTGGCCCCGCCGCCGGGGGCAGCCTCCACGCCGCAGCAGCGCCGGGCGCTGGGGCCGCCGCCGGGCCTGGCGGCGCGGCTGCTGAGGCCGCCGCCGACGCGCGCCGCCGAGGGGGCCCAGGACCTGGAGGCCATCGGCCGGACCGCGCGGGCAGAGAGCGGGGAGAGCGACGCCGCGACCGACCCAGAGGACGAGAAGGAGGACGCTCGGACCCGGCAGCTTCGGCAGAGCGCCCGTCATCGGGCGCCCGCTATCTCTCGTGCTCGGGCGTCGCCCACCCTCGCCGGATTGAGCTTGCTAGAGCGCTCGTCAGTGAGGGAGGGCACAGAGGAACGATGCCGGCGCGAGGTGCAGGCCTTCATAGACCAGGCGTCGGGCCGGCTCGTCGTGGACAGAGAGGTGGACGCTGCGCTCGCGCTCTACATGAACGGGCTGTTCGAGGAGGGGCACGGGGCGAACCGTGGCGATGTCCTGCTGTCTGCCCTCCTGCACTTCCAGCCGCAGCATGGCAAGCTTGGCCGCTCGCGCCTCCCCCGGGCCTGGCGCGCCCTGAAGGGGTGGCGACGCCGTTGTGGGAGGCGCTCGCGCAACCCTGTCGTGAGGATGATTTGGTCGGCGGTGATCTGGGACCTTTGCTGCAGGGGGCTCTGGCTGATGGTGCTCCGCGCGGCTTGGATCATCGCGGCGCATCGCGGGCCCAGCGAGCCACTGACCATCCAGCGCGCGACCTGGTCAAGCCAGTGAAGGGCGGCGCGGACGAGTGGTCGGTGATCCTGTTCCCGGGCAGCCGCGCCGCCACCCGCAAGAGCCAGATGCAGGGCGAGGGCGTCAGCCTGGCCAACAAGCTCTACCCATGGCTGCCGCGAGTGGTCTCGGCGCTTGCGCCAGGTGCCCCAGAGTCTAGGCTGTTCCCGCACAGCTATCCAGAGCTGGTGGCCGAGTTCAACCGCGCGCGAGCGAGGCTGGACCTTCACTCGCTGGTACTCTACCAGGGGCGCCACTCGGGGGCGTCGCTGGACCTGCAGGGACGCCACCGCGACCACCTCGAGCTCAAGCGACGAGGAGGGTGGCAGTGCGAGTCGTCCCTGAAACGGTGCGAGAACGCAGCCAGGTTGAATCTGTCCGCCTCGCAGCTGACGCCTACCCAGGCGGCCCAGTTCAAGGAGGCCGATGACCTGCTCGAGGCGCTCTTCTTCGGCCGCGTGGCCGCCCAGCCCTTCGCGCCTCTGCGAGCGCCCGACCTTACTTCGCCGACCTGTTCTGCGGTGTCGGCGGCGTCGGGCGCGCCATCAGCAGGCGAGGCTACGCGGCCGGGCTGTGGGGCCTCAAGTATTGCGAGCATCTCGACCTTACAGACTACCGGGCGCTGCGTGTGATTGAAAAGGACGCTTCTGCGGGGCTCATCCTTGGAGCTGCGCTGGCGACAGAGTGCGCAAGTTTTTCCATCGCTCGCATGCGGACTAGATTCATCCGAACTTCTGCAACGCCGTGGGGCGTCAAAGACCGAAGCCAGTTCAGTGATAAGGACCATGTTGCTTTGAGAAGAGGCAACAGGCTGATGAAGGCAACTCTTAGATTGATCCGAGTTTTCAACAGATATCATATCCCGTGGTTCCTGGAGAACCCCTACAGTAGTACGATGTGGAAGATCCCAGCTTTACGCAAGTTGGCTACCGCGCCGCACTGCAAAGAAGTGACAGTTGACTTCTGCAGCTACGGCACGCGGTGGCGCAAACGGACGCACCTGCTTCTCGGCAATATTTCAGCGCGCTGCGTTCGCCATTTGCACTGCCACCTCTGTCAAGGCCGAGGAGTGTGCTCGTGCGCTGCCAAGCCTCGCATCGAGCTGTCAGGCCCGCGCCCGACTCGCCGGGTGCCGTGGGCAAAGGTGGCGGAGCCGTATCCCTCGGGCCTCTGCCGCGACCTTGCCACTGCCCTCATCCCCGCCTACCTCGCCAGAAAACGCAATCCATGATTTGGGAGTGATATGGGATCTCAGATTTCTTTCATCCGCCAAGGGGCGGAAGCCTGCAGGTGATGTGCCACGACCCGGCCATCTGTATAGGCTCTCGCCTCTTTGTTCTGAACGATGCCGTGCCGTGTTTCACGAAGCATATTCGCTGATGCTAAAATGAGGAGGGTGCAAACAGACATAGGAGTGCTTGCACGTGATTGTCTGTGTCCCTCCGTCTCCGCTCAAGTGCACCCGTGGCCTGCCCTCCGCCATGAGTGTTCTAAACACGCGGAGCTCTGATTTCTTTCATCCGCCAAGGGGTGGAAGCCTGCAGGTGATGTGCCACGACCCGGCCATCTGTATAGGCTGTCGCCTCCCTGTGCTGAACGATGCCGTGCCGCGTTTCACGAAACATATTCGCTGATGCTAAAATGAGGAGGGTGCAAACAGACAAAATCCTTCAAACACCGAAGGCACATTAATGATTTTGGCCTCTTCGGGCCTTCCTGGAGGACCTCTTGGAGGCCTTTTGGGCCGTATTGAAGGCCTCTTGGGCCGTCTTGGGCCATGTTCGGGCAATTTGTGGCCGTCTTGGGTACATGTTGGGCCGTCTTGGAGGCATCTTGTGGCCATCTTAGCCGTCTTGGAGGCCATCTTGGGCCGTCTCGGAGACGTCTTGGAGACCATCCTGGGCCATCTTGGCAGTCTTGGACGCCATCTTGGGACAACTGGAGGAAACAGAGGCACGACGGATGCGTTTTGAGATCCTTTCCGGGTGGCCGGCGGGACGGGCCGAAGCCCCAGGCGGAGTTCCTTTGGAAAAATAGCCCAAACCAACAGCCATATCGTTCGGCACGCCAGGCACCCCTTTGATGAATCAAAAGGGGGCGGCGGATCGAAGACGCCTACGGCGAATGACCGCCACCCCCTGCCTTTTTGGAAGCGCCTATGTGGCTGAACGTTGAGGCCAGACCTGCCAAGCTATTGGGCCATGTGTTCCCCGAATCGGTTTGAAAGCCTTCGGGGAACACGTGGGCATCTTGAAGGTCATCTTGGCCGTCTGAAGGCCATTTTGACCCTTTCGGGCCTTCTTGGCGGACGTCTTGGACGGCTCTTGGGCCGTCTTGGAGGCCATCCTAAGCGTCGTGGATGCCTCTTGGGCCGTCTTGGGGGCCTCTTTGGGGGCACTCGGGCCGTCGGAAGGCCGGAAAACAGCAAATGCCACGATCCTTCAAGAACCCATGGGAAATCAATGATTTGGGCCTTTCTCGGGCTTTCCTGGAGGCTCTCTTGGAGGCCTCTTGGGCCGTCTTGGGCCGTCTTAGGGCCATCTTCGGCCGTCTTGGTGGGCTCCTGGCCCGTCTGGCGCCGTCGGAAACCGTTTGGGCCGCCTCTCTGGGCCGACTTGGGGCCCTCTTGGAATGCTCCAGGGCCGTCTTGGAGGCCTTTTTGGGCGTCTTAAAGGCCTCCTGGGCCGTCTTGGAGGTCTCTTGGGGCCGTCTTGGGGCGTCTGGGGCCGTCATGGGGCCATCTTGGAGGTCTCTTGGGCGCTCTGTGGGCGATCTTTGGGGGCTCCTGGGCCGTCTCGGGCCGTCGGAAGGCCGAAAAGAAGCAAATGCCAGAATCTTTGAACAACCGAAAGAAAATCAAGGTTTTTGACTTTTTCTGGCCTTCCTGGAGGCCCTCTTGGAGGCCTCTTGGACAGTCTTGGGCCAGCTTCGAGCCAACTTCGGCCATCCTGGTGGGCTCCTGGCCCGTCTGACGCCGTCGGAAGCCGTTTGGGCCGCCTCTCTGGGCCGACTGGGGGTCCTCTTGGGGTGATCCAGGGCCGTCGTAGAGGCCATCCTGGGCTTCTTGGAGTCCTCTTGGGTCGTCTTTGTGCCCTCTTGGGGCCGTCTTGGGGGCGTCTGGGGCCGTCATGGGGCCATCTTGGAGGCCTCTTGGGCGCTCAGGGGGCGATCTTGGGAGCCTTTAGGGCCGTCTTGGGCAGTCGGAAAGCCGAGAAGGCGCAAATGCCAGAATCCTTTAACAACCAACGGAAAATTAGTATGTTGGCCTTTTCGGGTCTTCTGGAGGACGTCTCGGAGGGCTCTTGGGCCGTCTTGGAGGCCGCTTGCGGGCCTTTTGGGCCGTCGTAGACCATCTTGAGGCCATTTT